AAGAAATTAAAAAACAATACGAGAAGGAAAAGAACAAAAGTTCAAAGTAGTGGTACAGCAGTAATGTGATGAGCTAAGTCCCTAAGAAACTAAAAATATATGAGAACTTAAAGAATGAAATGTCAAAATACTGATACTTTGTATTGTGATGAGTAACGTTAGTAAGAAAGGAAACATATACGAGAAGGTGAAGAACAAAATTTAAAAGTACTGATGCTGCAGTAATGTGATAAGTTAAGTCAGCAAGAAATTAAAAAATAATACGAGAAGGAAAAGAACAAAATTTAAAAGTTCTGATAGTGCAGTAATGTGATGATTTAAATCACTAAGAAACTACAAAAATTCGAGAAGGTAAAGAACAAAATTTAAAAGTACTGATACTTTATAATGTCATGAGTTAAGCCCCTAAGAAACTACAAAAATACGAGAAGGTAAAGAACAAAATGCCAAAGTACTGATACTTTGTAATGTGATGTCTTAAGTCACTAAGAAAGTAAAAATATACGAGAAGGAAAAGAACAAAATGCCAAAGTACTGATACTGCAGTAATGTGATGTCTTAAGTCACTAAGAAAGTAAAAATATACGAGAAGGAAAAGAACAAAATTTAAAAGTACTGATACTGCAGTAATGTCATGAGTTAAGCCCCTAAGAAACTACAAAAATACGAGAAGGTAAAGAACAAAATGCCAAAGTACTGATACTTTGTAATCTGATGTCTTAAGTCACTAAGAAAGTAAAAATATACGAGAAGGTAACGAACAAAATTTAAAAGTACTGATACTGCAGTAATGTGATGAGTTAAGTCCCTAAGAAACTACAAAAATACGAGAAGGTAAAGAACAAAATGTCAAAGTACTGTTACTTTATAATGTGATAAGTTAAGTCTGTAAGGAAGTAAAAAAATACGAGAAGGTAAAGAACTTAGACCTTCTTAAGAGAAGGTGCTGATATTGTAGTAACCTGAGGATTTAAGTCCCTTAGTAAGCCTTGATAAAACGAGGTCAAGGATAAAATTTCATACCTCTCTTATTGCAGTAACATGAGTTAAGTCCCCTAGTAAATCCAAATAAAACGAGAATGTCAAGGATAAAATTTTCATGTACTCATACTCCACCAATATGATGAGTTAAATCCCCTAAGTAAATTCTTACCATATGGAAAACTTAGATGATTGACTTTGTTAAATTTTCCACAAGTGCAAATTTTCACAATGAAAACCATTGAAAATGCTTGAAATTCGTTCATTCGGCAATCCGAATTAAAATAACCGGTCAATTTTTTTAAAGATCCATGTAAGATATTTCTGTCTTGTTTAGAGGTCCAAAAAAAAAAAAGGAAAAACGTATTCCGTTACGGTGGAGATCATCCTAGAAGGGAAGATAATAACTTTTCCCATCCGAACATAACGTTGTATATTGGGCAATCGACGTTCAATCAATAGAGAGAAATATTCGATCCTAGGCATGCACAGCCTACAATTCAATCGGAATTTGAAAGCTTCCGTTGAAATGAAGCAATTAATATGTTGATTCCGGTTTCCCGTTTCTCAAACGATTTCAATATTCACATTTGGCCACTGCATGCAGAAAATACCGAAATTATATGTGTTATGAAATTTCTGTCGTCGATGATTTTTGCTTTAGCCTAAATTTTGTTCATATGAAAGGGTAAGACAGAGGTGCATGATAGCGAAGAGACGAGTCCATCGTAAAGAAAAACCTCACAGCCGCCCAGATGATTTTGATAGCGATTTCCGCTGCAAACAGAAAGTTTTATCTTTACTGTTTTGTTATGTATGTTATAGCTACATGTTACACTTGATAACTTAGTGTTATGGCCCGTGGGTGATATCTGGTGGCTGATCTGCTGACATTTACCCTGGAGTTAGAACGTAACAAATCCGATTGATTGCTCTTATAAAATCTGGATGGAAGGTAGCCCATCCAATCTCTTAGAAATTGATTTTTTTTTTTACATCGGCCTTCAATAATTTTCCTTCGAAAGCTCAAGGTTAAAACCCTTTTAGCCTCTGTCTTCTCTCTCATTTTCAAATACCCATGTCCCTTGCGAACCCGGTAATGATAAAGAGATAGTAAAAAGTATAAGTAAAGAGTAGAGCAGTAAAGCGATTGTCATTAGGAAGAGTATAACTTATTAAAATAAAAACCAAATATATTACAATAATTTAACTATATTGATGGACAAAATAAACGCACCACCCTTAAATTTTAAGACAATTATTAAGTAAAGAACACCTTTAATAAATGTTTTTAAAAAAAGTTTTTTCCCACTTTAATACCGGGCATTTCACCTCTGGCATGAATCACGTCCGTTAAACGCCTTTGCATTCCTTGGAAAACATTTCTGGTAAAATATTGAGGAATTCTTTCTCATTCATCAAGAACAGCCATTTCCAACTCTTCCGTGTGTTCGATTGGAATCAAATATGGACTTCGAACTAGCGAAACCAAGCACCATTCAAGTAGTCACCCACAACAATGCTCTATGGAGCCTGGCATTATCCTGCATTAGCAAGAATCTCTCGCCGATATGGGGGGGGGGGCAAATAGCATTATATGTTCTTCGATTATGACTTATAATTACCTTGCACAACATCCAATTCGGTGCGGGCGTCCAACAAACTGCCACCCAAGAACATCAATGACCCCACCATGGAATGCCACGTGACGAACCCTACATCAAGGGGCGTACTTTTCTCCTGAGCGTCTCCATATTAAATTAACCCCATCTGAGGACTTGAGGCCAATTCTCACCTCATCTGTAAAGAGAACTTGTTCCCAATCTTACAATGTCCAATTTACATGTTCCCGTGCGAAGTGAAGCCTGGGCATTTTGTGAGCTGTGAAGAGGTTCACGACTCGGGTGCCGGTACGTGGGGTTATTTACATTGAGCCTTCTTCTTACAGTCGAGGAGGAAATCCAAACTTTTCTGACATCAGATTTCCTATTACATTTCCAGTAATGCTGCGCTTTCTTAGAGCCTGATGACGGATGAATCTAGTCTCTCTCATCCGTAGACCCAGGTCGACCCTGTCCTGGCATTCCACTGTGAAGCCCTGTATACTGAGGCGCCAAAGAACCCTTCCTATTGTCTCCTGGCGACTTTGCGCTGGCTGTATCCTTCCTGGAATAATGTTATCACCATGACACTGGCACACTCACTCGACTGGAGCCATTGAAAAAGGTTTAACAATAAGAATAATGTCAAAAAGAAATCTACGAAGGAAAAAGATTATCTGAAAGCGAGCGATTACTATGCGTAGGAGAATGGAAGGGCACAATACTGCTTTTTGTGAAAATGGGATTAATCAGTACAAAAGTATTATTTTCTGTTCATTTTGACTAGGTCCTAAACTAATGTACAAAGAGAATTCATTTAATTTTAAACTAAATAAATTTAGTGGTGCGTTAAATTTAGCAATCAATGTACACAAATAAAGAAGGGAAGAATATATGGTGGAGCACATTCCTCAGTTGAAAGATTTTATGTCAGCTGTAATTCCTAAGTCACGCTCAAGTCAAAGGTGACAAACGATGAATGATGGAACCAATAGGGCTTAATTTTTTCTTTTCTTTTTTTTCTGTCTAGTACTATCAATAACTTATATCGTAGAGATAATCAATAAAGAAGATAACAAATTCCTAAGAATATATTTTGATTTTGGTGGTTTCATGCTGGTCCTGGTATTCTCGCTTATTTTGTCTGAAAGGTGAATTTTTCAAAATCATCGGTAGTTGGTCTGTGTGTTGTTCTCCAATTGAGTGTCCTTATAATTGTGATTAATGAGCACATTTGAACTGGGGGAAAGGCCGAGACTCATCTGACGGACTATGCAGTGGGATTTTCAGGCCAGCATGATCGTTTTACCTTTGTGAAGACTTTTGACTAAGGCCGGAAACTGGGCAAAACAATTCTCCATACATTTTTAAAGTTTGAATATATTTCTCTCTCTAATGATTTGTAGATTTTCACCTTTTTTCTAGTCTATTGGTTAACCTCCAAAAGTCCAAGACAAGACAAGGTTTCTCCCTCTACTCCACCTTTTCTCTGGTTTTGATGGGATCTAATTTCTATCCACCTTGCCTGTGACTTAACTGCGGCTAAACTTCGCCTTACAGCTTAGGAAGTATGTTGATGTAAACATGATGTCTGATATTGATATGTATTGATATTACAGTAACTTGGTGAGTTAAAATCTCCAGTAAGACCATTAGATGCAAGAAGCAATAGCCAAAACTTAAAAATACTGGTAAAGGGCAAAATGTCGAAGTTGATTTTTCATTAACCTGGTGAGTTAAGACCCCCAATAAGTCCAAATTAAGCGAACAGATAATATACAAAATGTTAAAACACTGATATTGGAGAAATCCGATGAATTAAGTCCCCCAGTAAGTCTAAATAAAACTAGATCAAGCATAAAATTTTAAACTATTATATATCGCAGAAATCTGACGAGTTAACTCCTTCCTAAGTCCAAATAAGACGAGAAGGTGAAGGACAAAACTTCAGTGAACTGATATTGCAGTAACCTAATAAAGTCCTCCAGTAAGTCCTAATAAAACGAAATTTTTTTTGTTAATTGCAAAGAACTGATATTTCAGTAGGTAATATGATGAATTAAGTCCCCCAGTTAAAGTCCGAATTTAAAATTTAAAAAATTCAAATAACTGATATTGCAGTAACCTGATAAGTTATGTCCCTACTAATTTCAAAGAAAACAAAAAGAAAAAGGACAAAATTTCAAAGTATTTAGAGTAATAATTTCGTAGGATGTCAACGACAAGATACATAAGCACCACTTTTCCTCTGGTTTTGATAGGACTTGGTTTTTGACGTTTGAATCAGATGGTCAGTGTGGTTAAACTTAGTGTATAACATGAGTTTAGCCTTGTTGCACATACACATTTCATTTGTTTTTTTATTCCTGCAACTGATTTTATTCTCGCCATTAAAGTATTTTCTTCTTTCCTTTCCAGACTAAGAAGAACAACCCTAACTACATCAAAAGGCCGATGAACGCGTTCATGGTTTGGTCGCAGATCGAAAGACGGAAACTCTGCGAAAAGAAGCCAGACATGCACAACGCGGAGATCTCAAAGCACCTGGGCAAAGTGTGGAAGACTTTGAAAGACTCCGAAAGGCAGCCGTTCATCGAGGAAGCGGAGCGCCTCCGGATGATGCACCTACAACAGTACCCGGACTACAAGTACAGGCCTCGGAAAAAAGTCATCAAGAACAACGGACTGAACGGCTCTAGGCAAAAAAAGTCGAAAAAATTCTCGGACAGCAACAACAATTCTAGCCAAAACGCGAGCAGGCCCGGTCCGAAAGTGAAGATCGAACGTCGTAGGTACAGTGCCAAAGTGCCGAGCAGTCCCTCGACCCAAGTTCCTAACTCGCCGGAGAGTGCGACCCTCTACGACGAGCCGGAGGGCGCGGAGACCCGGGCCCCGGACGTCAGGATCCCAGACGGGATCAAGGCAGAACAGGAGACGGTCGTCGGAAGCGAGTTGAACCTTCAATTAGTCAAAGCGGAACCGACGACTGGCAAACTGGCCGAAAACCCATCTCTAGCAGACCTCGATTCCCTCACCGACTTGCTCTTCACCCCGGGCGAGACGCACCGAATGGAATCCGATTCCCTCACCGCCGAAGAGCTCGACGTCTACAGGACCAACCAACTTTTCTACTTTGGAAACACAGACATAACCGATATGCTGTTAGAAGTCAACAATCTCCGTTGGCCCGACCTCTAACCCATAATATTCAGACTTCTTTCTCATTTTTTTACTTCTTCCTTCTATCTTTATTGAATTTTTATGAATCATGGAATTTATTTGACTTGATTTCATTTTTTGTGATATACGAAACACCTCAGTTTTATTTTGTGTTAATTAAGAGCTAAAATTAAACATTTTAAGTATAGCAGTTAATACATTATTATTATTATCATTATCATATACGTGTGTATTATCTTTTTTTATGTTTTAAGGGGAGTTTAACGTTTAGGGTTAAGAAGCCCCTACTTGATCTACATCAACTTTCAAAACAAGTCTACTCCTTTCCGCCTCCAGTCAAATTCTCACTACAAAAATTTTACCGTATAATTTTTAGCCTACTGTCACCCAATACTTTATTATATATTATTATTATTATTATTTATATTATTACGATAATTATTTTAGTTATGTAACCAACTCTTAAGATTATATTGGAGCGAGATTAGAGAAGAGCGTGAATGTGTTGAAGTCAGGCCTGCGATCAAAAATGATGCAAAAATGCATTAAAAAAATTATATATATTTTTTTTATTAATTTGCAGGCCTGGACTTCTTCTCAGTCCTTGAGACTTTGTCCTCTTAAATTTCGAATTTGCTTAAATTTTCGCGCTCCACTATAATCCGAACCTTTAGAAACCTAATGATAGTATTAATAATCGTCGGAGCGAAGGTATTTGATGTTCCTTTAATTCACCAACTGCCGTAGCTCCACCTTGGTCAGAGCGAACTGAAGAAGGCGTCGGTCCGATTCCTTACACGAGCGATTGTCCAAATCTGGTCATATATCGGGATGGAAATTACTGTTTAAAATAAAATTTAAAAAAAAAAGGATAAGAAGAGAGAAAAAATAAAAGAATAAAGCATTCCAGAATTTTTCATTCGGAAATAAAACGACACGCGGTCTTTAAGACGCTTCTTTGTCCCGTCCTATTTGTGGAGTGAATTTTTTTCGAAAGTGATCGTACGTTTAAGCCCAAATTTTTCAGTTTTAGTTTAATTAGCTTATAGACATGTTACTTTCTTACTTTTGTAATTATTTAAGAGTATGGGATTCATCGAACTGTGTGTTTGGATTTATACAGAACGCCTCATAGGCATACCACACCATACGGTCGATCGTGCCGTCGACCAAGTATTCTTTTTTTTCTTTTTTTTAAGGCGTTTCCGTTATCTTCGTGAAATTAATTTGTGAGCTTTAATTGATTTTGTGTGTGTGCGTGTGTGTGTGTTTCGTTGTACGTTCTTCTTTCCAAAAAATGTTGGCTTAGTATTACGAACTCGGCCGTCGAGGCAACTTGTAAATAAATGTGAGAGGATAAATAAACCTATATCAACCTCGATGCTCTTTTTTTTAGAAAACAAAAACGAAATTAACAGTGTTCTACCCGGAAAAAAGAACAACCCATCAATTACCAGTTTTCTTAATAAATGATCTCAAGGAAAAAAAAGAAAACCTGTAATTACTTAGTATTTGTATATCTTTTGTATGCTGATTTGTTTATGAATTAAATCAGTAATTTATTTGTATATTGGACTTTTTTTCTTATTGACCCCCTATCCTTCATAACTTTTGATATTTTCAGATCAGTAGAAGAATTCCTGATGTAGCCAGTGAAGGGGATATTAATATAAGTGAATTTTGAAAATAATGTTTAATGGTAATGAACATTGTAAATAGGATAAGTAACGGTGTCGGCAAAACAGGCCGGTAGGTGCTGAGCAGTCAGAGGGAGCAGTTTTTCTATAAAATTCGTATCATGTGGAGGGTCTTCATCTTGACCGGAATAATCGTTGAGTGCCTATCTTAGAGTTGGGGCGAAAATTTCAAGTTAAGTTTCACAGCTAATTCTATCCAGGCTACCCCCACCTTTTTGACGAGAGCTAAACATTGGTAGGCTGCTAAGTAGAGGGCTTGATTGTAGCTGGCATAATATTGCAAAATAAAGTAGTCTTAGGATATTTAGCCCGAGAACCATTCTTTCAGGATCACAATTGTTCTCTGCTGTGGCGCCAGTTAACTCTGATCACCGACCAAGCTCCCAGGTGGAAACTCAACCAACGAGACCCGTCTTCCCGGTTGACGTGCTGGGCTCTCCGACTGTTTGAGTTCGAATATAAAGTACAGCATAAACCAGGGAAAGATCATCGAAACACGGATGCTATGTGTCGAGCGGTAGCCCAGGTTCAACCGAGAAAAGTACCTCATTCCACCGGAAACAGGAGAAAGAAGGTTGGATCTTGGCGGCTAAGAAGGACGGGGCCCAACAGGACGGGGAGGACTATGGTACTGAGTCGAAACGAACCACAGGCCTAGAGACATTGGCAACTGTTGCAGCCGACCAGCCTGGTGAAAGATGTGATGCCACACTACACCCTGGGCGGGTCACCCAGGAGAAAAATGAACGGAAGACAAGGTAGCCGCCAAGTATTATTGACCCACCTGGAGGCATGACGTCGAAGAAGCGGTGAAGGGGTGCGTATCGTGCGCAAAAAGGAAGTTACTAACTGGCCTACGAGTTCCGCTCGAACAATTCTGCGTACCCATCCGGCCATTCGAACAGGTGGCGCTAGACATTGTGGGCCCGTTGAGAGCGACCAAGAGAGGACTTCGATATCTGCTGACCTTTATACATCATTTTTCTTGATACGCGGAAGCGATGAGAGGCCAAACGGGAGAGGAAGTTGCAGAGGCCTTTGTACAAGAAACCGTGACCCGCCATGGTGCCTCCCGTCGGCTTGTGACTGCCCAGGGCCGGAATTTCGTGTCCCAGCTTTTTAAGGAGACATGTCAGCTACTGGGAGTACGGAAACTACAAAAAACGCCGTACCACCCGGAGACCAATGAAGTAATCGAACGACCACATGGAATGTTGATCGCCTCTATCTCCCATTTCGTGACGCGAGACACGACTGACTGAGATAGGTGGGTACCCTTCGCGGTGATGGCTTATAGGTCGATCCCGCATGCGATCGGTGTTCACCCCCCAAAAGGGGTACCGAGGTGGAAGGATGGGTCCTGCAAGAGGCTTTTAAGGAAGCTCGATCCCAGGTAGAGAAAGCATGGGCTAAAAGGACGAAAGCCCGGAACAAAGGGAGACAACCCCGAGAGTTGGAGGTTGGAGAAAAGGTGTTACTGAATGTTCCGATAGTGAAACCAGGAGACTCCCAGAAGTTCCACTGCCCGTGGTCCCTAGGTGGTCGAGGCTAGGCTGTCCACGGTCACCTACTAAATCCGAACGGAGGATGGGAGCTTTCTCGTGGTACACATCAACCGACTAAAGAAAGCAGCGGCAAGGAGTTGGCTAGAGGATGAATACAGAGAGAAAAGAGAGTGTAAAGGCGAGAGTTAAAGCTTAAGAGAAGGAGTAAGAGTGAGAAAGAGAGGATCAATGGAAGAAAGAAGACGAGAGAGAGAAAGAGAGCGTAATGCAAGGGGTAAGCTTGAGAGAGAGAGAGAGTAAGTAGGTGAACAAAAGAGGCGAGAAAGAAGAGTAAGTGCGAGGGAGTATGAATTAAAAAGAGAGGGTCAATGCGAGTGTACACTGCTTGAGATAGCAAGAGACAGTAAGAACGAGAAAGAGAGTGTAAATGAGAGAGAGAGAAAGAGAGGTAAATTCAAAAGGAAAAGCTTGAGAAAGATAGAACAAGAGAGGAAAGAAAGACATACAGCACGAAAGAAAGAGAGTGTAAATGTGAAAACAAGAGATAGACCGAGAGAAAGCTTGAAAGAGAGAGAGAGAGAGAGAGAGGAGTGTTGGAGATATCTAAACACATCGAATTTGAAAAGATGTTAAGCGAAGAAGCTTTTTTCATCTGACATGATCCAAAACCGGATGAAATAAGACAATTGAAATTACAAAATGAAGAAACATTACATAGCTTTTTCCACAATTAAAATTGAAGGGTTTATATTTGAAATTGTATACGAAATTATTTCAAATAGCTATTATTTTAATATTAGTATCAGGATGTTGGATAACAACTGTAGCCTCAGGGACTGAGCGTATCCTGTTCTTTTAGTAGGCGTACCAATATTCCCTTAAGTATTTTTGCATATTAAAAAAAGTATATATAACCAGAACAACCCAACAGCCTAGCCACATAGAATACGAAATATAATTTGCATATCTATAGAAGAAACAATCGAAATACCCTCCCGACCTCGATCTGTAATATTTAATTAACTATACATAGAACTAACAGGAATGTAAATTTATTCTCACAAGTGTGCGTACACATGGATTTACGTGTAATAAACATTTTTTTTTTTACATAAACTTCATTTTTTCGACGAATTTGCAATTGATTTGGCTGGATATTATTACAAGTATTAAACTCAGGTGCTTTTAGTCAGTAGTAGAGAACATACTAGTAGTTGTTCCAGAAGTTTTATTTTATTTTTATTCATTACAAACACAGGCTTGGAAGGCTAATATGGCAAAACAAAAACAACCTAAACACAATATAAAAATAAATATATCACTAAGCAAATATTGTATAAGACGACACAAATATAAGTAGATATAAAGAGAAAGAAAAATATAAAAAATGTATTTATTTGTACTTAAAAGTATACTTAAGACAACAATTCCGGAATTCATGTTTTGTTCTTTATTTGAAACCATGTATATTTATCATTATATTACAACATACTTATTTTAATTACAACCAAATTAAACGAGTTTTGAAGAGAAATTTACGAGTTTTAATAAAAGTTATTTAATTACGATGTTTTGAAAGAAACATCAGAAAATCATTTAGTGATAGAATAAATCTAATTAACAATTTATTACCTGGTTTTGCTCTTATAATAATCCCAAAAGAACTAAATTATGCTTCAACTTTTTTTTAAACAGTTGGACCTAATTAAAAAAACACAATATTCGGTTTATATTACATATTTTATACTTTTTCCAAAGTTTTTTTTAATTCATTTGTGAGAGATTTGAAAGATGAATTATCGGGTGGGAAATAATATTCCCGCCATTTGCCCTCTTTCACCCGTGGTGGCCAGCGATCCAACATCGTAGATTTTCTTCCTTAAAAAAACATTTAACATTTCTGTTGA